CCCCGTGGGGTCTCGCCCACCAGCCAGGGCTCGCGCCGCGCCGGGGCAGGACAGGCTGCAACGCGCAGCTGAACCAAGACGTCGATAGGAGGGAAGTTAAGGGCTGGGAGGGTAAAGGACCGGCTGCGACGGGGCGCCGGTTTTCAAGCCAAACGTCCGCCTCGGACCTTAGGGCAAGGGGTCTCTGCAGAGGCCTTTGGAAACACAAGAGGGATTCATAGCAATATCCCTTCACCTTTCTCCGTGGGTTATTCCAGGCCACAACGAAGCCTTCACTGCAGCTTGACGATCCCATTTACAGCAGAAGCATGACCACCCCAAAGAGAGCAGCAGCAGCGGGACAGGAGGTTCTGGAGAACATTTACGAGCAGGTTTCTGGAGACCGTCTCTAAGCCACCCAGCTCAGGTAGGTTCAAGGAGAGACCCAGCTCCAAGGCTCACTCGAGGGCAAGCCCACACTCGGTCCACCTGCTCCACAAAGGAGCGATTCCTTCCTCTGCTCGCGGCAGAAGGAGCCACCCAGGCTCAGGCTCCCTTACAGTTGAAGGAAGCTCTTCAAAGCTCAGCGAGAAGGCAGCCCTTCCACGGAAAACCGGCACCAAGCAGCCCCGATCATACCAGGGATGCTAGTCAGCTTCGCATTCGGATTCTCACACCCCTCCTGACGCAGCGGTCTGTTTCCCAGGCCCTGCGAGACAGTTAGAAGACGAGGAAGGAAGGAATGGATTTAATTTATCTTTAAAAAGGATTCAGAAAGAGATTTCTATGAATAGAATCAGGGCGGAGGAAAATGCTCTTACGGTAAAAACAGAATGGTTTCGGGCATGGCTGGTACGCCCAAATTCGAATCTTACATCGGCCATAAGCCTTGGTGACTGCAGCCCAACAGACAAGGCCACAGAAGGCCAAAAAAGAAACCAACCACAAACCACTACCGGCCTAGTTTCCACAGGTAGGTGACTTCAGGCCGTGCCTGTTTCTCCATCCACAGAGCACGGAAAAATATCAACCCTAGGAATCAAATTTGTTGGGCTAAATGCAGCATCTTTATGGTTACACGGATTTAGAGCTGCCCCGTGATGGTGCCCGGCAGAGCTGCAGGCTGCTGCTGGCATCGCGGCACGCTTCTTCCTGTGATAAGGGCCCCCAGACAAATTAAGTTCAGGGGACATTATGTCCAGGACTTAAAAAGCCAGAGGTCCAAGCTCGTTGGCCGTTTTCTTTGGGATGCGCAACGACAAAATTAATGCAGTTCTCACAAAAGTTAGCGCGTCCAGCTGTAGACACAAGAATGGCAAAATTCCCCAAATTCAGACGGGCTAGAACTTCGAGACAGAAAAGATAAAGGAGGCCTGGGGTTTCTAGTTGTTCTTCTACCTCTCAGAAAATCACTTCCATTTTTCACAAGCCCACATTTTGTTGTTGTTAAGTGGCTAAAAGCTGAGACCCATGTAAGTCGCACTCTCTTCCTGTCCTTGTAACTCCCCTCTAGTGTTAAGAATGAGCAATAACACACGGAAGAGGGAAAAGAGAGAAAACATCGGTGCATGAGCTTTTTTGAAAGCTCTAATCAGTCTCTCAACCCTTTCCAGGATTCACATGACCAAACCAAGGCTGCTGAATAAGAGTTTTGGAGCTTCTGATCCATCGGAGAGATCAGAATCTCTTCGCCCAAGTCAATGGATCTGCACTGAAAGCTGCAGCAGACAAAAGCCCTCAGCATGCTGCTCTTCTGGGGAGCTACGCCCTCTCACCTCTGCTGAAAGTGGCCGTGGTCTGAATTCCGGGTTTGTCCTTCTCCCCAGTTCCAGGCGAGGCAGAGCCTTCTGGCAGGAGGACAACAAATCCAACAGCAATTTAAAACACACAGTTTAACCCAGTTTGTTACATCTCTCTCCCTGCTGGCCACTACAGCAGTGTCGTCAGTGATGGTTTTTTCTCCCTCATCCATCTCCATTCATATGGTCCAGATCTTCAGACGCTAAGCAACTGCTGTTGCTAAGATCCACTTCCTTTTCAGGCCCATGATATCACCACCTACTTGAAGGGGTCAACCCTGGCTGGCATCATCCTCACGGCAATCGGCCACAGAAGCTGCTGATCGCGGTGCCATTGCCTGTTCTGGTAACGGGGACGCCGAGCACGAGTTACCAGCGCCAACGCGCGCATAGGTGCAGGACAACACAGGCGAGAACTGGCTTTTTAAACAGACAAATACACAGCGGTGAATACAACCAACAGCCCACAGCCCTCTGACCTTCTGCTGCTCAGGTTCACACCGCAAATGGATTGTACTTCGCAGACTCCCTGGGAGAAGCGTTTTGTCAGCATCTGTGCAGCGCTGTTCACTCCACGCATAAACCAGGGCAGCCTTTAAGGTGCTTTGGTGTTCCCAGAAAGAACTAAGGAGCAGCAAAACCAACGCCTCAAAACCAACGCCTCAAGCAAAGAGTTGAGATAAGTGCCTCTGATGAAAACAGGTGTGGTTCGGTTCATTTAAAAGTTTATTCCTTTATCAAATCTCTTTTCAGAGGATTTCACTGTACATATAAGATATGAATAAATTACTCAACAGTAACTTTATTCTGGTCATTCAAATACTCAAAATGGGCTCTGCAAAGTACTAAAACATTCAGGGAGCTAAACTAGAAATCAGATTATTTTAAAATATCCTAAGAAAAGACTTCATTCATCAGGGTTTTGTTTTGTTTTTGCTTTTGTTTTTACAGGTAACATGGGGAAAACACAACCTTTCGGAGTTTTTTTTTTTTTCCCTAAATGGAATAACAAATATATTAGCTGTTTTAGCTGTAGTTACAACAAATATAACCCTCGGTGTCGGGAATGTAAGTTAAATAACCAGACCACCTCTCTGTTCCCTTCAGCATCACACACTTTGGTGAACAACGAACTAAGTGAGGCCACAGAGATTTGGCTAAAGATACGTGGATCTGGCTAGCAAGCTTGCACATGATTTGCAGTCATACCACCTAGGCCTAATACCTTAAATAAAAGAAAGATTTTGTTTCAAAAAGTTAAGGCCGGACACGGTCTCCTCTTCCCAGCCCAGAGGATAAAGTTAACACTTAATCAGATGTGATGCTTTTACAGGAAACAGAATTGATACAAACAAGCTAAAGAGCTGAAAAAATGTACAGTAGGCAGCTTTTATCTGTGTCTGATTACAGGAAATACTGCTGTTTCACTGCCAGCTGCAATGCATCATGTGACACTGCAAATACTTAGTTCAACTAGTACGGAGATCAGATTGTTACAGCACTGTAGGCCTTGGGTCACGACAGGGGGAGAAAAAAAAGGAGGAAAAAAAAAAGCAAGAAAAACATACATACACAGAACGCTCATATATATCCAAAAGCTCTCAGCAGCTTCTTGCGCTGGCAGAGAGAACCTCATTGTTTTTTGTGCAGTCCACACACTGGGGTATTTTCTCTTGTATTCCAAGCTCTGACCTGTTAGTCTACATCCCCTTTGAAACAAAAAAGTAGTTTCCCCTCAACGTGATTTGAGACAGAGGCTGATGCAGCTGAGAGCAAAAACACTAAATTAGCCACACTTCTCCCTCCCCCCCCC